GTGAGAGGCCAACCTGCATAAATGCTATCGACTGCCCCTATTTATACTCACCGAACCCGAGGTTGATCTCCGCCACGTCACCACCCTCATTTAATGCTCTGCGCCCCCAGACAGCTAACTGCCCTGTCAGACTCCTGACACCTGACTGGCATTCCACAGCTCTGCCAGGCTCCTGACACACGACAGGCGCCCGCAGGCCGTGGTCCACCAGCCAGTTGGTCGCCACCTGGCTTTTGGTGCTCTGTGAGACAGCTAACCGCCCTGTCAGACTCCTGACACCTGACACACGACAGGCGCCCGCAGGCCGTGGTCCACCAGCCGGTTGGCCGCCACCTGGCTTTTGGTGCTTTACTCTTGAGGTCCCTTCTCTTTTCTTGGGCCCAAGGGCCACTAGTGAATATTGGTTCTTACCTTTTGGGCCTTGCCCCCTAACTCCTTCTTTGGGGAGCCCAATCTCTTAGCTTGCTGGGTAATACCCCCAACAGTCACAAAGAAATTTAGATCGTGACCATTTCAGATTTTGGTAGCCGAATCCTGATGTATTGCGGCCAAACCAAGAATTTGGTCAGAAATGAGTATTCCTAACGCGGCAAACATGACCAAGGCTTTAACCAAATAATATTGGTCACCAAAAGCTTTTTGCAACCAATATCGGACATTCTGTGACCATTTCTTTATGTCACAGAAGGTCATTTCTGTTGTAGTGTATAAACACAAATCCATAACATCATTTCAACTGTAATGCTAATTCAACTTAAAATTAACGCACAACTAACTAAAACTTAGAGACTAGTCTGAACTCTACTCCATACCATTTTCTGAACAATACCAGTCAAGCAGTCACACTAAGAAGTCAACCATAGTAAAGGAACTCACCTCACTAACACTAATCACATTCCTGCTGGGTATCGGTGCTCGAGCTCGTCTTCTCTGTGAGCCTTTTGACTTCATCTTTCCGGTAACAGTATCTTCTGTTTCGCTATTGCTTGATATCAAATTCACAGATTCATTACAGCCCTACAAGCACATGAAAGAAGACAGTTAGAACATTGTGATAGGTAAAACTATAAACATAATTTCATATAATGACATATTATGATCTGAAAGCAAATCCCATCTAACCCTCCTCTACCATATTATGATCTGTAAGCAAACCCCATCTTATCTCCAGAGCTAAAACTAAGCTATAGATGAAACAACTTCACATCAGGAACATAATTAAACTAAAGGAGCCAAACAACTTCACATCTGAAAGAAAATCCCCTCTCTATTCACTTCTCGGAGTCTCGGAGTTGTCTCTCTATCATGTTAAGCAGATAGAGAGTGATTAAGCCTTTAGAAATCAGCATAAATGGTCCGTATTTGGCTGTGTTGGTTCAGTCCTTTAACAGAAAACTGAACAGAGTATTGGTCTTCCAATGAATTAAGAGATCCAAGTGATAGATTTGTTAAATTAACTCAACCTGCGTACCCAGGACTGCATTTAAGCTCAATTCTTCAAGGCACTGAAAAAACAACCTGCGTACCCATGGATTGTTGAGTTTCTAGATTGAGAAACGGTAACAACAACCCTAGATCCATACCTAACGAATCTAATCAACCCACCAAGCATACCCAATATGTAACTCTATTCCTACTAAAAAACCCACGGAGGGCAAAGGGATCAGTGGGTCGGTCGCCGCCTTGGCGGAGGTCCGACGGGAATACAACGGGGAGAGCTAAGGTTGAGATGCGCTTGATTCGAGATTGAATCCAAAAGAGACCGATCAAGGATATGAAGAGGGAGGAAGAGATTACCAGAACAGTGGTGTGATCCGGGGTGCGGAGGCCGACGGAGGTGCGAATCTGGATGTTCGGTCAGGGGAAGCGTCGTCGGCGTCGATCTAGGAAGCTCGGGATCTCTCGTATCTTGGTGTTGTGCAACGTCGAGAGGAACAGAAGATAGGGAAGGCGACACAACGGGTAGCGAGGGAATGGTTCGGATCTGGCGGGTGACTGGGCGAGGAAGTAAGCGTCGTCGCCGCCGGGGGTGATAGATTCTGCAAAGCTACTCGAGTGTTGGTGGGCGACCTTCAGTAGTAAGAATTAGCGGTTTGCGGTTTTGAACCGCAACCGTGTGGTTTTGGTCAATCCGAACAACGAACCACTAACAACTAAATGGTTAGTCCGCAAACGAAACCGATAATTAACGGTACGGTTTGGATTGACCGCATAAGCGGTTTGGAGCGGTTTGGTCAAACCAATGCCCACCCCTACTTCCAGTGGTGTCTTTCCCCAAGTAAAATGAATCGCCCATATTTTGTATTCGTCATCGTTATGGTATTACTGATGATAACCTTCAAAAAGTGTGGGAACTACTTGGAGCAAACCTGAATCTACGTTCTCATTTTGACTAGCATCATCCTAATATCATAATAGCTGAGTTAATTTGATTTCTCTGAAACAGGAACATCAACTAATTGTTCCCACTTATAGAACTTTGTTAGCCGTGTATTTGAGCCAATTGGGATGGATGAAAAATTGTCCACCCAGAACTAGAGTTGTTTCCCCTGATTGTCACCATAGCAACTCTTAATATGATTCATAGCATGAGAGAGAGAAAGCTCACGACATATGATTGGCCAAGAATCCTAGATGGATTATGCAAAAGCACAATCAAAGGAAAGGAAAACACCAAAACCCTATGGTAGAGCTATTTGAATCCATTAAATCAAACTTCGATCTGTGAAATACAACCCCATCAAGCCGATATAGCAAAATTAAGAGACAACGATGAAGAAACGAAATTCAGATTGAGGACGTCGATTGGGGCAACATCATGAGAACAAGAGCTTTTCAGACGCGGTGAAAGAATTAAACAAAGGTGATCTGAGAGGTTGTGTAGGAGATTGCATCGACGAAAGAGGATTTCCCCGGAACATTTTGTTTCTTTCACACTCAGTCGGAGGTGGAGAGGGAGGAAGACGACGTTGGGTTCTCGGATGTGTGTTTGTTCGACTGTTGTTTTGTTCTTGCCGTGAAAAGTCACATGAATTTTAAATGAATTAATGAAAAACAAGGGGGAAAATGCGAAAGACGGAAGGTTTTCCGTCTGTTTGGGTAGCTGACCGTTCTGGCTCAATTTCCATGGGCGACGGGTTAGGATTGCTATTTAGTTAATCCTGTGGTGCTATATTACAGCCTATGTGGACCATTCAGAAAAAAGCGGCATTGGTGTCGCATTTTTTGGGTTAATTGCAAGATGGTTACTGGGTTTACTAAAACCGTTCATGTTTGGTAACTGCAAATATTTAATTCCATTCATGGTCACTAAGATTAGTTCAATAGTTCAAGTTTGGTCACTCTCCGTTAGTTTTTGCTGATGTGGCAGTCAACTATTATAGTTGACCGTTAAATGAGTGCCGTGGCCAATAAAAAAATAATAAAATTTAAATATTTACAATTTCCACCTCATTTTACAACTATTAAAAAATAAAAATAAAAATAAAACTTACCTCCTCTGGCCGTCGGGTGGCCGTCGAGAAGGCGAACTCTGCCTTCTCCTTCAACTTCCCCCTTCATTTCTCTTCCTCCTCTTCTCCTTCCGCTCCTCTGCCGTTCCTCAATTTGAGGAGGAAATCGACCTCCGCGGACAGACAGCACGTTTACTAGCAGTGTATTAATCAATCATCCCTACCAAACGATTGCTAAAACATTAAAATATTCCCAACACAGAGACAGAGACAAAGCAATTGGAGCTAGTTTGCCACGAAGCCCTCCTCTTTATAAACCCACGGACAAGCCACAGAGGTTTCTCCACATCTCACTCTCCCCCTTTCCCTCTCTCTATCTGTTTCACGTTTCCTCAATCAACGGGTAATACTTCAATCCCATTTTCCCAAATCTCTCCTCTGTCTTCCTTTCTATTTGAATTCGTAATTCCCTAACTTGAATTGAAATCTGCAGAAACAATGGCTTCCCACCACCACCTGATGAAAACCATGCTTCCCCTGTTTCTCCTCCTCGCGACTGTCTTCACCGGAGCAATGGCTGCTGCACCGAAGAAGCCCGTGAACATTCCTTTCGGAAGGAACTACGCTCCCACACGGGCTTTCGACCACATCAAGTACTACAATGGCGGCAACGACATTCAGCTGGTCTTGGATAAATACACCGGTAATCTCTCAACCCATCCCCTGTTTTTTTCTAATTTCATATTTGGGTTCCTCGTGTTTTCTGAAAAGAAACGGTCTTTTGTTGTTGGTTTTTGGCAGGGACGGGTTTCCAGTCGAAAGGGTCGTACTTGTTCGGCCACTTCAATGTGCAGATCAAGATGGTTCCCGGAGATCTCGCCGGAACTGTTACTGCTTTCTACGTAAGTAAATTTTTTTTCTTTTTCCCGGCAAGTTGTTACTAATTAAGTAAACGTGCTGTCTGTGGACATGGGTAGCTAATTAAGTTGTTACTAATCGACCACCGCGGTCGATTTCCTCCTCAAATTGAGGAACAGCAGAGGAGCGGAAGGAGAAGAGGAGGAAGAGAAATGAAGGGGGAAGTTGAAGGAGAAGGCAGAGTTCGCCTTCTCGAATCTCGACGGCCAGAGGAGGTAAGTTTTATTTTTATTTTTTAATAGTTGTAAAATGAGGTGGAAATTGTAAATATTAAATTTTTTTTTTATTGGCTACGTCACTCATTTAACGGTCAACTATAATAGTTGACTGCCACATCAGCAAAAATTAACGGAGACTAACGGAGAGTGACCAAACTTGAACTATTGAACTAATCTTAGTGACCATGAATGGAATTAAATATTTGCAGTGACCAAACATAAACGGTTTAGTAAACCCAGTGACCATTCTTGCAATTAACCCCGCACTTTTTTTTACTTTTTAGCCGCATGATAGTATTGGCCCATAGAGTTTGAATACTAGTCTAGTAATCAAATCCGTGGCCCAATTTCTTAAGACATGCATGGGCCCTGCCCCTTGTTATGCAAATGACTGCTCGCGCCCTCGCGGGAACCCAAACTCACAAAGGCGAGAATTGGGCTGAACTGAACGCCATTTTCTGTACATACTTTAATCGGCTAAAATGCGCCATCTGTCTCTGCCGTGCTTTACTTTTGGCGCTACCAATTGCCGCTCCGTCAACGACCGCAGAATCGGCTTATCCGCCGGGTCCAGCAGCAGCAAAAGGGTTGAAATCAGAGCCATGAGAGCCGTCGTCCAGCGGGTTGCCTCCGCCAGCGTCGAGGTTCTCAGTTCTCAATCTTCTTCCGTTTCTCTCTTTCTCCTCACTTCTTCGTCTGACTGCCGCCGATTGCAGGTGGAGGGGCGGCTCGTTTCGGAGATTGGTCCGGGCCTTCTCGTTCTCGTCGGAGTTCATGAGTCCGACACCGATTCCGACGCCGATTACATGTAAGCGCACTCCCAAACTGATCCATACAATCTCGAATCTTCATTTACTAGGCGGCTAATGAAGAATGGGGAAAACCCTTTTGATCCAACCCGCAGATGCCGGAAAGTGTTGAACATGAGATTGTTCACGAACGAGACCACCGGCAGAGGATGGGACCAGAATGTAGTAATTCCTTGCGAAATGGCTACTTAAAATGTCCCCTTTGTTTCCCTTCATCTGCTTGCTTTCTGATAAATGGAAGTAGTTTAGTTTAATGTGTGGGACTTTGCAGGTAATGCAGCAGAACTATGGAGTTTTACTAGGTAAGTGAAGGTCTGATACTTGTCGATTCGGCATAGAGTTGTCATTGCCCATTGGAACCTTTAAGTCCTAATGACCATCTATAATCCCGTTTACAGTTAGCCAATTTACATTATATGGAGTTCTGAAGGGGAACAAGCCAGACTTCCATGTCGCAATGCCACCCCAGAAGGCCAAACCATTCTATGATTCGTTAGTTGACAAGTTCAGGAAATCATATAATCCGGACGCCATTAAAGGTACCACTACCCCTCGTCTCATTTGAACACAGGACGCTGCAAACTTCTTAAGGATATCAAGTTGACACTGTTATGCCTGCAATTGTTGCAGATGGCATATTTGGGGCGATGATGAAGGTAAGATTGTACTACCCTAAGTTATGTTGATTATTCTTTGAATGTTCTGAATTCGACCGATTTGGCCTGTCGATGTTTGAATCACTCTGGTTTTATGGAATACATATCTTTGTTGGATGGTGTTGAAGGTTAACTTGGTGAACGATGGTCCAGTTACAATGCAGCTCGACTCGTCTCAGACTCAAACCACTAAGTGAGTTCCCCCAACTACTGTGATTTTGCTACGGCGAGTGTTGTGGAAACTAATGCCGACCATATATAATTTGATTGTGTCGTTGTGTTTCAGGGCTACAAATATGAAGGAAGCGGAGCAATCATAAAAAGCTTTGGACTTTTGCTGCTTTAATTTCAGAAGTAGGATGCCAGGGCAGCTGCCATTTTGATTCAGTATACTAATGTTAAAATTTATAATACTTGGAACAAAATGCATAATCATCTTCAATCCTACTCTTGCATTACAAAGAGCAACCATTTGTAGTGCAAATATATAAATAATTATTACTTCTATGCTCTATCTAAGGAGCGAGGGCAGGTTCAATCCAACCACTCAAATGAATTTCACAAGAAGATTGGAAGTCCTCCATGGCTTCCTCAAAGTCATGAAATGTGTGATATCCCTGCGTATCTAGTGAATAAAACACCACGTTTTGCTGCTTAGCGGATACTTTAGGAAAGTAGATCTTATTCCCCATTCCGGTAATCTTTTCCACAGTGGAGAAACATGCTGTCCTGCTGACAAACAACGCATGTGAACCCAAATTCTCTACTTTCAGCCATCCTTTATGTTCTTGATTGAATCTGTAAACTTGGACCAACTTGCCAAAATCACTCACCAATATTGCGAGGATTTCGCCTCCGCACTCCACCAGGTACTCCAATTCGAATCCGTGCACGTCACAAGGATCTTCAATCGGCTCACCAGCATTATTCATTAGCTGCCAATCATATACATCCCACGTCCATTTGAACTCGCCCTCATCTCCATGACCCGAGCTAAAAACTCCCAGTCTCCTTTCTCTATCCAAGAAGTAGAACTTATCATCTACAGAAATTGGAGTATTGTGATAGCTTGGTTGAAAATCCTGCTCGTCGGCTTCAAGGAAAAAATGCAGCTGTTGATCGTCCAATCTCATGAAACTCAAGATTACACCCTTTTCAAAGCCTTCACACAGTTCAATTATGCAGCAGTCTGGAGAAGTAGGTGGTGCTGAGACCCCAAAGATTGACGGGAAAGGAAGGGGTATCATCTCAGCAACAGAGAGAGCTTCCTTTGTAAAAGGGTTATAGAATGTAATGTGAAGCCTCAATGGTATATCTGAATCCAAGTCTGGATTTGGTATGCGCTTCGTCATCCCCATGCCTAACCAACATTCCTTTGAAAACACAACTTCTGCATCTGAAAGGGACTCCGGAAATTGTTTCTCGTGTGTATGCCCATGCATCAAGTCCAGGAAATTGAGGTTGCCTTTGTAGTGCTTGAAGTAGAAAAGCCATGGATATGGTGGAGGCGAAAGGGGTATGGCTGAGTTAAGTGTCCTGCAGCAGTTGCGGAAGTTTCTATAGTCAACCAATCCTTTTGCAATGTTGGCAAGGATGTCGGAAGGAAGCTTCAATATCAATGCCCTCTGCTTCTCCTCCTCCACCATTTGGGTTTCACACTGTGCTTCGGCTTCTGCTTCCTCTACATCTTTTTCACTAGTAGTTTCATCAAATAAGCTGTGGCAGGCAAAGCAGAAAGACAAAAGTAATAGCAAGTTATTCTCAAAACCTCATGCACCAAGTAGCGACGAAACTAGTAAACGCATAATTAGTATTACCCGCATTGAGGAGTAGTTTGATGAGCTGTTGCTCCGTAGCTGAGGAAGGCGACATGGGGTATTGGTTCATCGTCTTCGTCATCGTCGGTGAGCTCAGTCTGTCCTTCTGAATGCGCAAGCAAAGGAAACTGTGATGACTGGCCTCTCTCCACATCAAAAGCGAAAAATTTCCGGAAGTTGTCTCCACCAAGGAAGAAGTAAATGCAATTGGGTTTTGTTCCGCTGGTGGCGCATGGACAAGAGAAAGAGCATCTGTTGGGACTAATGAAGATTGCTCGTCCATTCAATGTATTGACTTGTACCCAACTCATAGACGACTTGTCCAATTCATAAACCAGCACAAACTCCAGCTCTTTGTCACTAAATTTGCGATAGCACACAATTACCCAGAGGAGCTCCCCGCTTGATTCAACCAAGTTCCAGTTTTGTGATCCTACGGTATAAGGCAGAGACAATGGCCCCTGGTCAACGAGAATCTTACCCACGAGAGTGTTGTTGGCATCCATTGTAATCTCGACCAATTGGCTGTTTCCTGTGACGGCGTATAAGCTTCCTCTGCAAAGCACAAGACCGCAGAACGCACCAAACTCTTCGGAGAAAGTTTGCACGGTCCATGTATCATCTGCTCCGCCGCCTGGTTTGCAATGCGCGAGTTGTGGGGTTTCATTGTCTGCGATTACGACTCTGCAGTTGGGATCGGTTGGTGGCAACGTAAGTTCGCCTCTCTCGAACCTACCGGTCGAATTAATCAGACTCGGAAGTCGGATTGTTTCGAGAGTGATAGGGTTCAGCAAAGAGAATTCTGTAGCCGTATCGTCGATTTCTCTTCGGAGGATCAACCAGCCGTATTGTGAGTAGCCTATAATAAGATTGTCGACCAACTCCGGGATTCGACAGCGATGGACATGTTTAGGGTTTGAGGTTGAATAGAAAATTTGGCTCTGACCTTGGGAAAAAACGAGCCATGGTGCGTCCATCACCGGTAGAGCGTGGTAATGATGGACGGGCTTCTTCTTCGCTCATGATTTGATTCCTCTGTCAAACTACTACTACGAAAAAACCCTCCAATACCCGATAGGTGTATTTGATTATTTGAATTACTTTGTAATCTATCTTATGGGTTAATGCATGTTTTAGGATAAGTTAAATCGTATTAAAAATGATTGTCCCTTTGTCGACTTCATGATATAGTAGGTACATTTAGTGTTATAACTTCAAATTAGATTTAAAGTTTTGAGTATTATAATGTTGGATGTACGGGTGGATACTCGAAAATCGCGAATAAGGGGTGGGTTGCAAAACCTAGGAGAAAAAGACAAGGAGGAAGAGTCGAAGAGAGAGAGAGTGTGGTGATAGCGAGAGACAAATATGAAATATCTAAGTTTCAGAATATAGCATTCTAATTTGTAAATAGGACTATTTTACTAATTCTCTTGTAACATGATGCTAACCTCATAGGTGAATACACTATCCGCTACATTAAAGCTGATGTTTTAAAAAATTCTTAATTACCTAACTCAAATGATATTGCCACTTGAGATTCAAAGCTTGAGAGTACCTTAAACCCATTAAAAAATTGATTAAGTAGCTTTCTCAAACCATCATTATCAATACTCATTCTAAGGATGGTAAAGTAACAAGCAAGTTTCCGGCGATGGAGGAATGAGAAGTTGACAACTGACACACCAAAGATCCGAATCCCGACAAGCAGCTCGTACACAGTAACATTTGACTTTCACCAAAAGCTGACCAATTCAATGCAATGGAAGTAGTAGTAGTACGATCCCCGCCCCGCGTAGGGAATTTCCTGCGCGAGTTCATTTCCACAATCACAAGGAAGAAGAAGAAGAAGTAGCTCTCAATTCAGTTCAACAATTGACGCAACGGAGTACACATAAATACCATCAGATTCATTAGATGATAATTAATTACTTCCATTAACACCCTCCCACTAATTACCACCAACAACAAATGCTCACACAGACACACAGACATGGCGGCCGCAAACCTTCATGAGTTGCTCTTCATCATCATATTCATTCTCCCTTCCCTGTTCCTCGTCTCCTCCAATGGCCAGACCCGAATCGGGGTCGTCCTTGACTTGGGGACGAGAATCGGGATGGAGCAGAAAACCGCCATGGAAATAGCTGGGAGGGAGTTCAACATTTCCCTCCATTTCCGTGACTGCTCTTCTTCCCTCGCCGCAGGCAGAAGCCTCCTCCGTGCGGCGGCCGCGGCGGAGGAGCTGATCAGAGACGAGGCAGCCGAAGCCATCGTCATGGGGACGGACAGCTGGGAGGAGACGGCTCTAGTCGCTGACGTGGCTGGAAATGGAGCCAGAATCCCGGTCGTATCCTTCGCCGCCGCGCCGCCGGGGGATTCTCGCTCCTCACGGCTGTCGTCGTTCTTGGTCCGGATGGGTCATGGAAATACCCAGCAAATGCGGTGCGTTGCGGCGCTGGTCAAATCGTACAATTGGAGGCGGGTGGTCGCCGTTTACCAAGAGAACGCGTTCGGTACCGATTCCTCCGGCGAGTTGACTCTTCTCTCCGACGCATTGCACGAAGTCGGCGCCGAAATCGAGCACCGAATACTACTTCCTCTGTTTCTCCCGTCGAATTCTTCAAACGCCGTCGTTCAAGATGAGCTGATAAAAGTTATCGACTCGGTTCAATCTCGGGTATTCATCGTCCTGCGATCTTCGCTTCCCGTGGCGGTTGATTTGTTCCGGGAAGCGAAGAAGTTGGGACTCGTCGGAATGGACGCGGCGTGGATTTTGACGGCGAGAGTGGCAGAGTATCTCGACTCTGTAGATCCCTCTGGTCTCTACTCCATCGAAGGCGCTCTAGGAATCAAAACCCATCGCACAGAATCTTCCACCTCGTTTCGTGAATTCAAAGCTCAATTCGGGAGGAAATTCAGGCTCAATTACCCAGATGATCATTACTCCGAGCCCAGCTTCCACGCTCTGCAAGCTCACGACGGAATTTCAATGATCGGACGAGCTATAGAAAAGAAGACGGCGAGCCAGAACAAATTGTTGGAGAACATATTGGAAAGCAAATTCACTGGTTTAACCGGCCGGATTGAGTTCAGGGATGGCGGGCTGGTGTCGCCGGAGGAAAATGCTCTGAGGATTGTCAATGTCGTGGGAAATGGGTACAAGAAGCTGGACTTTTGTGGGCCGCCGGAGATGGCTTCCGGTAAACTGAAGCTAGGAGGTCCGGTGACGTGGCCAGGGGACCTAAACAGAGATCCAAAAGGGTGGGGGATGCCGACCGATGCGAAGCCGATGACTATTGGAGTTCCGGGGAGGACGACGTTCGAGAAGTTCGTCCGAGTAGTGAACGCAAGCGACGGCGAGAAGAAGTACGAAGGATTCTGCATCGAGCTTTTCTGGAAGATCTTAGACAAACTCGACTACAGACTCCCCTACAAATTCGTGCCTTACAACGGCACATACGAGGATTTGGTGGATCATGTGTACAACAAGACCTACGACGCCATTGTTGGTGACATCACGATTCTAGCCGACAGATGGGAGAAAGTGGAGTTTACTCAGCCGTTTGCGGAATCGGGGCTCTCGATGATCGTGCCAGCGGATTCCAAGAAATCTGCCTGGATGTTCATGAAGCCCTTCACCATGGAGATGTGGTTGGTCACTGGATCTATCTTGATGTACACAGCATTCATCATCTGGTTCTTGGAGCACCAGAGTAATCCGGAGTTCAAAGGTCCTTTAATGAACCAGATGGGGACCGCGATTCTCTTCACTTTCTCCTCGCTCTTCTTTGCCCACAGTAAGCAATTCTAAAATCTAACTATGAAATCTTCCTTTCGATGAAGCTTATGTGAGGCTGATTATTATTGCTGCTGTTGTTGATTTACAGGGGAGAAAGTGTATAGCAACCTGACTCGTTTGGTGTTGGTGGTGTGGCTATTCGTGGTGTTGATACTGAACTCGAGCTACACAGCCAGCCTGACTTCCATGCTCACGGTGCAGCGGCTGAAGCCAAACGTCACTGATATCGACTGGCTGAAGAAGAACAACCTGAGGGTAGGGTGCGATGGAGATTCATTCGTCAGGAATTACCTCGAAAAAGTGCTGGAATTCAAAGCAGACAACATTGAAAACGTCAATAATGAGTACAATTATGAAACCCAGTTCGATAAGAATCAAATCTCTGCCGCATTTCTGGAGCTCCCATATCAGAAAGTGTTCATCAATCACTACTGCAAGCGGTTCACTGCAACCGCACAGACGTTCAGATTTGGAGGATTGGGATTTGTGAGTGTCACTCCTGTGTACTGTATTATCCTTTCCAATTTGTTAACCCTTTTGGAGATCAGACACCCCTAAGCTTTGTTCTTTATCTTTCCCTTCAGGTGTTTCAGAAAGGTTCTCCAATAGCAGCCGATGTATCGAAGGCCATCCTGAAGCTGTCAGAAGAAGGAGAGCTGAAGAGGTTAGAAGAGGATTGGTTTTCTCCGTCTAGAGAGTGTTCAGGCAGTACGAGCGATGACAACACCGAGAGCTTGAGCCTCCAGAACTTCTGGGGGCTCTATGTTTTATCTGGTGCAACATCCACCGTCTGCTTGGTGGTGTTTCTATTGCATTTGTTGAGGAAGTACAGGGTTTGTCAGGAAGAGGAAGGACATGGGGATCTTAGTATATGGAACAAGACGGCTGAGTTAGCAAAGTACCTTTATAGAGGGAAGGCTGTTGTGGAAAGTGCGCCGCCTCCAACTTCAGCAGATGCAGGAGGAGAGGATTGGAGTGTTTCAAGTTGCATATGTGAAAGCCCGCCTCCTCGCACTCCTGATGATCCAGGGATTCCAGAAAGCTTTCATGACAATCCTGATGAAATAAGAATTCCAGCAATAGAGCTAGCTCAGGCTGTTAGGCATGCAAATATGTAGAACTCCAGTGGCCGAAATATCTTTCACATGCCTCTTTTAGATAGGAAATTTCTAAACTGGATTCAGCAGTGAAGTACAAATGATTCTCTAGTAGAAAATACAGCAGAAATCTCATAACACAAACCACATCCATCAAGTTGTTAACCGCATAGTTCATCTTCATCCCACTGAATACAACAATCTAAAATAGGTTCCAACTGTTTCAGCCTTCCATGTCAGATCACAACTACAAATGAACAAAGCAGATTCGACTAAGCCTAACTTAACGGGTTAGAAATTGAAGGTGCTTTCGTTTTTCTCCAAAATTCAATCCACAACGAACAGCCTCCACAAGAATAAAGATTGGCGGCGATAAATGAAGAGGGTGATCTGCGGGCTAATCTTGGTTCGGCTAAAACACTTTTCCAGCTGGTCGTCTTTCAACTTCTGTAACTCAAAGTCAAACCTCCTTCACTATGCTTGCATGTAGTCTCGCTCCCCTCACTCTCTCTCTCTCGTTTCACGTGAGTCCCTTCTCCTTCAGTATGTCTAACGAAAACCTCCTCTGCCTCTTCCACGGCCACCCCACCCCCTGCCCCTTCCTCGGCCACGTGTGTTGCCCCTCCCGATGCCTTCGAAAGCCCTATTCACGAGTTGGTTCTGCATGCCGCCACCGCCACCACCACGCCCCTTCTTTGCCGGGTTCCCTGATCCATTAGTAGCTGTTTGAGGTCGTTTGCCTCTGCAGAAAAAAAAAGTTGTAACTCAGAAAATAGCCTAAGGACTGTCCATTTCAAAGCATTGCTTCTCATTCAAGAGCACTAGGCAATTAAGTTTTTGAGTACCCAGTTGTCACGGTGTTGGATGGTACAGAAGGTTTTGTTGCTTCTTTCCAAGAAAGGTTGATGCTCTTGTCTCCCATGAATGAAGGCGTTTTTGCATGCAAAGGCTGCAAAAATGCCATAATTTCGACTAATGTATGAGTATTTATAGGCAAAAAATCGACACAAGCCAGTGGTACCAAAATTTTCTAGCTCTCTCACCTTTGACATCGCCAAAATGTTATTGCATGTTCTCAATCCAGTTGTTGCGTTCTGCTTCTGAATTTTCTGCATATATTAGAAATGGAGGAAGAATGTCATCATAAAGATGCAAATTACTACAAGACTACTGAAACTGACAACTGCATAATCATCATGCGTTGGCACATAATTTTAACATACAATTGCATCCTTAGCTTCCTCTGACTTAGCTGCTGACATTGCTTTATTATGTTCTGCCATTCCTTGCGTCAATTTTTTCAATGTAGCCCTAGTAAGCTCCTCCACACTAGTCAACCTGTAAATATCAACAACAATTGATATGCAATGCCTACATTAGTCCTTGTATCCTTGAACGGAGAGACTAGTCAATAGAAAACTGCCCATTTTTTATAGATCAGATCTTGTTTTTAAAAAAGTCTTTAAGATTGCATCTTTGTTTTTGTTTTTTTATCACAGTATTAGAACTTTTAGTAATATCGATATTTCAACAAAATTTCACTTAATAGCAGCTGCAGAGCTCCTTATTTATGTGGGAATCATGGAAACAAAATTCAATAGTACAAGCAACAACATATACCATGAAGGAAACTATAAATTTCAGATGGTCTGTGGCTTGATTTCACTTTGATCCAACACAAGCAAATTGATGACATCAGAACCAGCTAGAAAATTTTACTATTGAGCTTCTTCTAACCTTTCAAAAAAAAAAAAAAAAAGCTTCTTCTAGGATTTAGTGACACAATAAGGACAAAATAACCAGAGTATGCTCTATTCAGGACTGAATGCAAAAAGTCTCTGAATTTGAATGTGAATTAATTAGAAAATAAGCTGTGTTGAAATTGATCTACCTCTCAGTGAAATCCTTGTAGAGTTCAGAGAAGTCCTCGCCAAGTCTATCTGATGGTTGGCCAGTTACTATCTTGTAACCGCATAAGCTGTTTGTGGCATTAGGAGCCTTCACGTCGAAACAATCAAATTAGCATAAAGTGATAGTACAGCAAGAAAAACGACAAAGGGTAAGAGGATAGTACAGCAACCTTGTTTGTCAAATGGTGAAAAGCATATAATAAGCACTCGACATAAGTAAAGTTTGTTTCTTCCCCTGTCTTCTTTCGTGGCATGTACTTCTGAGAAGATTGAAAAGACACAAGGAAATGTAAACAAGATTAGCAGACAAAGGTTCTTTGTTGGGGAGGGAAAAATAGGGTCTACTTAATCCAACATGAAAGATATTGCACACCTTCAAGAGTTGAACAACAGAAGGAAGAATCTGGCGAGAATCTTGAGGAGTAGTGTATGGAGAGCTTTCTGCCAGTGCTTTCAGTAAATCAAGCTTTCGTTCTTCAGGAAGCTGACAATGTAAGGAAAAGAAAACCTTTATTAGTACTCTTCTTAAGCTGGATGACTTCACCTTTATATACATATAAGTTCCACGGCTACAGAGCCGTCGAAGAAAGCAAGGCAAGTGTCAAAACAGCACAGCAACGAAGAACGAAATGGATGATCTGGAAACCGTCAATCAACAACAGGATTTAGGAGGAGTGAATGAAAGTTGTGCAGTTGAATAAAGCATAAGAGACAGCCTAGCTCACGTTGATACTCTACAGACAACAAACCATCCCAAAATGTCACATAATTTTATCATCTTAGAAGCAGAGGACTTCCTTGAACAAAAGTTGTGTAGTTGAATAGAGCATGAGAGAGCCTCGGTCACATTGAGACTCTACAGACAACACATCATCTCAGAATGTCAAATAATTTTATCAACTTAGAGCCAGAGAAGGACTTCTCTGATCCCACTATGAACATAAAAAAAAAAAAAATTAAAAGACAAACAAACAAGGTCAGACTTAAAAATTTTACTAGCTAATAGTACTTCTCAAAAGGAGATTCACTCGATTGTGGTCAATTATCTTAAATATGCTGACAGAATGCAATTATATCCCTAGATTTCAGGTTTAGGTTCCCTCAAGTTGTATCCTACAAAATCATCACAGGAGTTCACCTTATCAACTCAAAACCAGAGGACTCCCTTAATAAAGTACATCTCACTAATTGGGGAAATAAATGACCAACTTATTACTTTCACTTGCTAAAATTATATATAAAGCTCGAGCATTACCTTATCGAAAACGGGTATTATGTGCTTGTTCAAATAGTTGAGGAATTTGGAACTAGATGCTCCTCTCTGCAGTTAAAATTGCAGAGGTCGGACAACACTGATACAAAATATTTAATCTTGCCAATCTTCAAGCTGAAAGGGGGAAGTTTGTACCAAAAAGAATGGAAGAGCTGTGTGCAGGCATGATATTAATCTATCAATATGATCTCCATCTTCAACCTGCATCATATTTCAATCAACTCGTGTTAAGAACACCATCAAATAAAAGATTAACATTTTCCCAAACAAAATGGACTACTGGAAGTGAGATGGCAACCTATCCACTCATGCATGGAGCAACATGTCAAATATTACCAGACAATTTGCCAACATCTACACAATAAATAAAAGTCAAATGAGAAAATTTGAAGCCTCATTTCAAATTTCCTGCATCCAGAGTGAAGGTAGGAAGGACATTTCGGTCTTCACAATTACTTTTTTTTATTCATTAAAAAGACACTTACTAGGATTCGAACCATGACCACTTTAAAGAAAAGCAAAGATCATAACCAATCACACTAAGTACATTTGTTGTATCATAACCAATCTTCTGTGGAACGGGCCAACTTACCGTACACATGCGGATTTAAACGGGTCAAGGAGTGTCAATTTATTTCTTTAAGTCCTTTTATTTCTCCGTGGTGGTAAAATATATATGAAAAGGCAAAAACAATACTCATTTTTATAGCTAAAAAGAAAAAAATTTAACAATAAACTAATGCATGGATTCTAATGGGCTAACCGCTAATTATAAAATAAAAGAGTTTTACCAGAAACAATATTGTTTCACAAGGTAACAGGTACTTGATTTTGGTTCATAAGGCTGATTTTTTATTCGATTTTCTGGAATTCGGTTTCTATAAAACTTACTCCACCTCATCATATTACTAGAAACAATATTGTTTCACAAGGTAACAGGTACTTGATTTTAATTCATAAAACTGATTTTTGATTCGTTGCATCATTCATGTCTCTTTCCTACTAAAATTCACTATTTTTATCAAGTGTTTCCCAAAAAAAAAAAACTATACAACAATAAACTATACATCACATTACATTATCAAATTTCATACCTCACCTTCCTCCGGTCAATGGGCGGGGCCCACGCTAGTTAACAATTACATTGCTAACAAAATAATGACCACGACTCTCAAGATCCCGCTAGCCACCTAGGTTTCTAGAGAATGATAAGCAAAGTAAGTTCTTTTTTTTTTTTTTTTTGTACCTTGTACTTATAGGCAATACATCTGGGAACACAGGAATATGAGCAGAGACAAAAGTACACTCATCCATGTTGATGGCAGAATGCTCAGAATCAAGCACGTAATAAGAATGATAAACAAATAATCAAAATTATTGATCAGTGATAAGTTTTGACATCAAATCTGATCAAACTTGTCACTTAACAGTGGTCTATAGAACCTATTGACAGAACTACTTGTGCACTTTGATTCTTCAAGAAATAATTGATTACAAATTCTAAAACAGCTCAGGACAAAAATACCATGAAATAGCATAAGACAACAATCACTCACATTGAACTGTGCATCTAGATCAGCCTGCCCTTCAATTATTTCAACAAGTTCTTTTGTACGCTCAGGAGGAGCTTTATCCCCAAACATGTTCAAACTCTTCAAGAAGTCCATAAACATCCTGAATTCAGCACCAGTTACATCTTGTAAACTCTGCAAAAGTTATGCATTGTCAAATATAGGAACAATTTTCACTACAACAACAACAACAAAAAAAAAACCTCAGAACCACTACTACCAAAGCATAAAAAATGACAGAACAGTAAGCTACCTTTTTAATCAAATCAGTTATATGTCGTTCCATCTCCTCTTGAGGCCTCAAGAGTTCAGCTTTGAGCGGGAAAACCTGAAAATTACCAGTTAGTTTTGGTACATCACTCAAAAACAGCCAACTCAAACAGCATTTAAATGATTTTTACCTTATCTCTTATGAAGCTAAGAACTTTCTCACGGAATGGGTCCTCTGTGTTTTGTTCATCAATATTGCAAATGTGTTTGAATAAGGCAGTTAGGCAAGCTGCAGGACAAGAGAGTTCCACAACCATGAGACTATGGCATGCTTGAGTAAAGAGTATACAGTGTCCTATTCCTATGTGTGGCTAGTTAATCATAGTTGAGTTTCTAACTTTACATTGCTTCACCTTTCCCCAGCCCAAAACCCCTATTATGCACAACAGCAAATGCAATACACGTTGTAACTACTTACCTTTAACATCCTGCCTCAACAAGGACATGAGGGCCTTGTGCACTGCATCCCTCTCTATAATTTCCTCTGGAGTTCATCAAATGAAGTTAGCACCTATCCTAAGCGAAATGAACCCAAAACTTCAAAAAGAGAGTTCAAAATTCTGATCTACCTGCTGTAAGTAGTTGAACAAGAATGTCCACAATCTTGGATAGATTGTCTGGGGTCTTGCAGAAAAGCGGCAGACCCCTAATTGCTTGTACCCTCACCTACATAGACACCGAGCATTCAGTATTCATGTGTAACAAGGAGAGAAATCCTCAATTCGATTCTTTAAATTTTTCTTTTGCAAGACCCTAACTGATAACAAAAACATGGTCTGAATAAGGAATTATATTCTCCAGCTATCATATAAGCATAGCTTGCATCCATTCAACATCAATGAACACAAAAACTAAGCACACTCCACACATCAGCAGCCTAGACGAATGACATTAAAATAAAAAGCGGAACAAGCATACACACCCGAAGATCTTCCTCCTCAACCAAATCCAGATGAGCGTCAACAGCATGGTTAGAGAGTTCAGGGAAGAACTTGAAGAAGCGCGGGATGAGCTGTGCCGCCAGCTGCTTCGCCTTCAAACTCGTCTTAGCAGCATCAATAATACCTTGGTAATCGGCAACGTTCTGCGGGGAGGGGAAAAATCGACAGCAGCAGTAGCAAAACCCAAAAACTTTCATCAGCAACCGGGACAGCGGAAATAGAAAACCCTAGAAATTACGAGCTACAGAAGGAAGGGGCTGGATGAGTGAAGTTAAGATGGAGAACCTGAGCCTTGTCTTTAGCCTCGCTGAGGCGTTCGCCGTACTCGTAGAGCTTCTCGATGTGAATGGAATCGTCGTTGAGGTCGGCCATTCTGGCAAAAGCGGGATGTGGGTTGCTTTGGGCTCTCCAAAAACCGGTTGCCTAATGAGAAGCGGGAATGGAACAATTTGGAGGAGGAAGAACACAGGAATTGGGACGCGCGGATTAAATGCTTCACACCAAATCAGTGATTGAATTTCCAAATGGGGAGAAGGGATTTCACTGGGTTTTACGCGCTGCGAAGTGAGGGAAGAGAAGGAAGCTGCTGCTGATGTGAGTGGAAAAAGAAAAGGACCAGAGGCTCGGCGGCTCGGCCAGTGAAGGGTTTTTGAATGGGTTATTTGTCGGGTTAATTGCATGGTTGGTCACTGATATTACAAAAAGCGTTCATGTTTGGTCACTCGAAATATTTAAATCCATTTTTGGTCACTAACTTTACAAAAACCGTTCATTTATGGTCACTCTCCGTTAGCTGCCGTCCAACGCCGTTAACGACGTCCGTTAAGTGATGACGTGGCTGACGGATTCGCCTAATCATCACCTTTTAACCCAAAAATTGACTGACCCGACCCGCCACGTCATTTAAACCCTCCATGTCAGCCAAACCTAACCAAACATCTAACCAAACCAGACCAGACCAGACCCCTAAATAAAGAACTGACCCGACCCACCAATTAATCTACCCACCTTTGACTAAAACCCTAATCAAAGACAAATCCATCTACCTCCATCCCGCGCCGCCTTCCTCCCTTTCGTTTTTCTTCCTCTCCAACTCTAATCGCCAATTCGCCGGCCACGAAGGAGGAATGGAGTCCGCCCTACCATAAAATTTCTGAATCTGAACCAGAAGCTGAATCGCCATTAATTCTTCTCTATAAATACGGTACCTCCAATCGTCCCCCATTCCCTCAACGAAACCCACTACTCCAAAACCCTAACAAAATCCACTCAGCAGCAGCCATGGCGATCCTCTCCGACATCGAAGAAACCCAGTCCAACCAAACCCAGAATTCTCCCCCTCCAACCAATCCCCCGCCGGCGGCGGCGAAGAAGAAGGAAGACAACACTTCTCTGCTTCCAAATTCCGGCAATGGGCTCGACCTGGAAACTATTCGTGGGGACAGAGCCTCGAGGAGGTGACGATCACCGTTCCGGTCCCTGCCGGAACCAAATCTAGGCAGATTGTGTGCGAGATCGAGAAGAAGTCTCTGAAGCTGGGGCTCAAGGGCGAGCCGGCAATGATCATCGACGGCGAGCTGTTCGGACCGGTGAAAGTGAGCGATTCTTTCTGGCAATTGGAGGATCAGAAGACCGTCTCTGCTCTGCTGACGAAATTCGAGGAGAAGAACAAGAGCTGGTGGAAGTCGCTGGTGAAGGGCGGGCCGGAGATTTCTCAAGGCAAGTTCAGTGCGGACTCCATTCCTCCTTCGTGGCCGGCGAATTGGCAATCAGAGTTAGAGAGGAAGAAAAACGAAAGGGAGGAAGGCGGCGTGGGATGGAGGCAGATGGGTTTGTCTTCGATTAGGGTTTTAGTCAAAGGTGGGTAGATTAATTGGTGGGTCGGGTCAGTTCTTTATTTAGGGGTCTGGTCTGGTTTGGTTAGAGGTTTGGTTACGTTTGGCTGACATGAAGGGTTTAAATGACGTGGCGGGTCGGGTCAGTCAATTTTTGGGTTAAAAGGTGATGATTAGGCGAATCCGTCAGCCACGTCATCACTTAACGGACGCCGTTAACGGCGTTGGACGGCAGCTAACGGAGAGTGACCATAAATGAATGGTTTTTGTAAAGTTAGTGACCAAAAATGGATTTAAATATTTCGAGTGACCAAACATGAACGCTTTTTGTAATGTCAGTGACCAAACATGCAATTAACCCGTTATTTGTCCGTTTGTCGTGGCCCGCAAGTGTTGTTGTTTTTTTTTTTTTTTTGATAAAGGACATTGAATTTTCATTACTTGTGGCTAGTGATGGCAATTTCAACCCGTCCCGCGGGTATTACCCGACCTGACCCGCGATGGGGCGGGTAATACCCGACCCGTAGTAGCGTGGGGCGGGGTATGGGTATCTACTTCCGACCCGCCCTGCCCCGCCCGCCCCGTTTTAGACTCATTTTATCTCAATTTCTTACAATATCTATACATATTTCTCCTATTTTGACTTTTCTTCAACTAGTTAGAGTCAATCTTTCAACTTGTTAGGCTCAATTATCCATTCTATTATCAATATTTTTCATTTTTAAAGTGTTTTCCCTTACGTTTTATTGTAAAATGTAAAATTTACTTGTATTTTTTTTAACAACATGTAAGAGTGGGTTGACCCACCCCGCCCCGTACCCGTGTGGGTTTTACCCGCCCCGACCCGTAGTAGCGTGGGGCGGGGCATGGGAATTGAGGTACCCGCCCCGCCCCATTGCCATCACTACTTGTGGCACAAGCCAGTCAAAATAACATGGGAATTGGGAGCTACAACATCAAGAATATTTAACCATTGAGATGGTAACTGGTTTCTAGCACATGATCTAGCCACCCAATTAGCCTTGATATTTTTCTTACGGCTAAAGTGCATCAGCTTGATGAATGGGTTCTCCGCAAGAAGACGCTTGATGCAACCCAGCCTTGATGTCGCTCGCCATGGCCATGATTTTGGATCGCTCTGTACTGCCTTCACCAGCTGCAGGCAGTCTGATTTCAGCAGGCAGGGAGCTCTGAGGGATGCTGCAAGTCGGGAACCCTCCAACAAGGCCAAGGCTTCTGCTTCAAGTGGGGAAAAACAATGCATGGGCTCAGCTCTGCCATCACAAACTTGGCCATGGCAATTCGTTACAACGACGCCATATGCCGCCTTCTGGGGCTCGTCAAAGAACGAGCCATCGCAGTGTACTTCAAATTGATGAGTACCTGGAGGTGGTGCAGAATGTTGCTGGGGTGGGATGAGCTGAGACGGTTGGGGCCTTTCAGTTACTTTCCTTGGGCAAGTGGACCATTGTGTGTGAGCAGATGCCACTTTCGAGATCGTAGATGGTGGCCAAGGCTTCGTATCCCTAAAGATCTTTTCATTTCTGGATTTCCAGGTCTGCCACCCAAGGAAAATGATCTTCTGAATCGCTAGGATTGGGTAGCACTGTCGTAGGGAGTCGAGCCATTCCAGGAAAGAGGACAAGGGTGAGGGTCGAGGCAGGGAGGGCCACTCTTGGTTCCATCCCTCCGCCGCGTGGGGGCAAGCAAATAAGCAGTGGTGGATTGATTCTGATGAGGCACCACAAATCGGGCATGCTTTTGATATGGCGCACTTCCTCTCAAACAGGTTTTCTTTACACGCCAGCGCCCCTCTGGTAACCTTCCAAACGAAGAATTTAAGTTTCGGAGGTATAGACAAACTCCATAACCACTTCCATCTTTGCCTGCTCGCCTCCGAGAACTCCTCTGACTGTCCTCCTTCCTGTCTAGACTGCAAGTGAAACTGGGTGAAAGCAGACTTCACCGTGAAGTTACCTTGTTCAGTGAACCTCCATGCCCAGAAGTCCTCCAGAGAATCCGGCCCAATAGGAATCGCTGCCACCTGAATCAGGTCCTGCTGACTGAGATAATTCGAAAGCAAATCAAACTTCCACTCCCTCGTAATCTCATCGATCCAACTGTCAGCTGTAGCATTGTCATTCCAGTGGAACTCTAGGAGGGGGCCTGCCCTATCAAATCTCCATGTGTCGTGGAAAAGCCTAGTAGTTTCGCCATTTCCAATCACTCGGATCAGCCCCTTTTGCATCCATCTTTTAGCTTCACAAATGCTGGACCAGATCCACGATGCTCTACTACCTTTTTTAGCTTTCAGAAAATCTGAGTTGGGGAAATAGATGCTTTTCAATACCTTAACCCATAATGCCTCCTTGTTGGTGAGAATTCTCCAGGCCTGTTTGGCCAGTAATGCAAGGTTGAAAGTATTGAAGGGGCGAAACCCGAGACCCCCCTCCTCCTTTGGTGCATATAACACATGTCCTGCTTTCCAATGAATCATTCTCTTTATCATGGACCCTCCCCAAAAGAAGGATTTGAGCATGGAATCCATTTTCTTCGTTGTACTCTTGGGCAGCAGGAACAAGCTCATGATATATGCTGGGACTGCTTGGAAAACCGCTTTTAAGAGCACTTCTTTCCCTCCTGGGGACAGGAGAAGGCTCTTCCAGGCTTCCCCTTTAGATTCCATGCGTTGAAGCAGGATGTTAAAGGTTTCCTTCTTAGATCTTCCCCATTCGGTTGGCACTACCAGGTAATTGGAATGGCAAGGAGTTGGAGCAAACCCAGAGCTACTCACAATCCTGGCCTGATCTTCACTTGGGACGTTGCAGCTGAAGAAGAAGGAAGACTTGTTTCTGTTGACTTCTTGCCTAGTGACCGCTCCATACTGATTGAGGATGTCCAGAATCTTGCCAGCCTCTTCGCATGATGCCTCCCCGAAAATCACTGTATCATCCGCGAACAGGCAATGTGAGAGGACAGGGCAGTGTCTGTTAAGCGTTATTCCTTTAATCCCATTGTTCAGGACCGCTTTCTCGATCAGGAAATACAAAGCATTCGACATGAGAATAAAGATGAGGGGTGACAAGGGGTCCCCCTGTCGAATGCCTCTGGATGGGATGAACTCACTTGACGGCTCACCATTCAGCAGTAGGCTGAAAGTAACCGTTGTAATACAGGAAGACACCCAGCCACACCAAACGTCACTGAAACCATAAGCCTTCAGCAGGGAGAGGAGGAGATCCCATTCAACCATATCGTATGCCTTCTTCATGTCAAGTTTCATCATCATCTCCCTTTTCTTTCCTGATTTCTGTTTCTTGAAATGGTTAAGTACCTCGTGCACAATGATAATATTGTCTTGAATCTGTCTTCCTCCTGTGAATGCAGCTTGGAGCTCGTTTACCAGGTCAGGCAGCAAGGGCTGAAGTCTGTTTGTCATTATTTTGGTGATGACTTTATACCGAAAGTTGCAACAGCTGATTGGTCTGAACTGGCTTATCGACTCAGGGGAGTCCACTTTGGGGATGATAGTGATAAATGTCTTGTTCCAATTATCCGGCATTACACCTGAAAGGAAGAAGGTGGAGATCTCGTGGCAAAAGGAGTCCCCCAAGGTGCTCCAATATTTCCTGAAGAACAAGCCCTGAAAACCATCGGGCCCAGGAGCCTTGGTAGCCCCCAGCTGAAAAACTGCCTTACGAATTTCATCCTTCTCCACCGGGGAGCACAGAACATTATTATACTCTTCAGTCACCAACCTTGGAAAGCCTTCGAGGATACTCGGGTCACAACTTCTGTTGTTGGAGGTGAAGAGGTTGATATAAAAATCATTAGCAAGGTCTTTTAATTCCTGAGCATTGTCAATCCATATAACTTCCGCATTTCGTAGCTTGACAATCCGATTTTTGTTATTCCTTCTAATGGTAGTGGCGTGGAAAAAACCGGAGTTCTGGTCCCCTTCTTGGAGCCAGTTGATCCTCGATCTTTGTAACCAGAAGCTTTCTTCCGAGCTCCAGATGGATTCGAGTTCCTGATGTAGGCACCTTTCTTCAGCAGCCTTATCAGGGCATCTTCTGGCTCCTTGTAGCATTTGTAATCTTTGTCGGATATCTCTTTCTCGTTTCGGTTTTGCACGCCTGTCATTCCTGGCCCAATTCTGTAATTCATGCTGACAATCCCTCAGCATTGTATCAAAATTTCCCCCACGCATCCATCTGTCAGTAATAATATTGCAGCACTCTTCACTTTCCCTCCATCTTTTATCGAATCTGAACGGTGTGCAATGAGCTTGACTTGCTGGATGAAGATCAATCCGGATCGGGCAGTGGTCAGATTCCACGAAGTCTTCGTGGTAAACCATGGCTGATTCAAATAAAGTCCTCCATGAAGTCGAACATAAGGCTCGATCAAGCCTTTCTCGGATCAGGTCATCCCCCTGTTGCTTATTACTCCACGTAAAAACTTGGCCAGAGAATCCAAGATCAACCAATGCATTCCGATTCATGAAGTACTTAAAAGGAGAGACATTCTCATTCCTAAGGGGGCACCTCCCCTGTTTCTCAAAAGGGAAAACAGCAACATTCAGGTCCCCAACAATTAGCCACCTATCATCCTGATTCTACCTGAGGGACGTGAGTCGATCCCATAGGAGTCGTCTCTCTACCACCGTGGTAGGAGCGTGAACAAACGTGCAGAAAAAACAAACCCCAGCCTTACTAATGCTGGTGTCCATGTAGGACTTACAAGAATCTAACACTGTAACAGTAACATCATCTTTCCACCAAAGGGCGAGGCCACTGCCTTCCCTCTCTGGACTAACATACTTCGAGTGTTCGAACTTCATCACTCTCCTCCTTTCTTCCATAAAAGATTCATCCTTCCTTGTTTCCATGAGAAAGAGAATCGATGGGCCAAATTGCCGACATAGCCTGTCGCAATAACTTCTTGTAAGGGGTTGGCCGAACCCCCTACAATTCCAGCTTAATATTCTCATTCGAGGTGAGGCGGCTTGAGGCTTGCCGCCGTCACCCTCG